AAATAGCTACATATTTACTTAAGTAATAAAATAACCATATCTTTACTTAAATAATAATACGTAGTATATTTCTATACAATTTTTCATCTTCACTTCTTATCCAACTATCTAATGTAAGAGAAAATTAATGAAATAAATTTCACTTCTCCCCTCCCATTCCCTTCAAAATCCCTCGACCAAAAAAGGTTTAATCAATATTATTACAAAAAGCACTTCAGCAGTAACTAGTCAGGGCTAGGCAGAGATTCTTTACAACAATGAGCATAACAAGAAGTAATGCCAGAATAATGTGTCATTAACTAATGCAGGCTTTGTAGGAAATCTTATATCTTTATGAGCTCTGAATAATCTCCGCCCAATGTTCTGCTCAGTTTCTGTCTTTCTGATATAATGAAACTCCATACACTAACTCCGCCCTTCCATCATTCTACTTCTTATAAATGCAGACGCTCATGACTTTCAAATTATAGTTTAGTGAAAATTACTTGGTTGAATGACTGGATTTGCTGAAATATAAAGCGTTTGATAAAATTCACTTCAGCCAAATAACTAACTCGCTTTTAGTAAGGCCTAAAATGACGGAAGCTGTTAGTAAGGCCTACAATAGCTTAATTAATCAAAAATACATTTCTTGAAGAAAATACTATCTAAAAATGAAGGAAGAAATGTCTTTTTCTTTCATTTCAGCAAAAAGTAACTCCAGCACTGCTTTTTTCCCACTATCATGCATTCATGCCGTCTACGCAGTAAAATATGTTAGAGTTTGGTAAAAAAACTGGCTGATATGGTTGACGAGTAGGATAACCTAACAGAATCCATACGTATAACTCTACCAAATGGACTTTTAAGTTGGTTGCTTTTAATTTATCTCGAATATCAGGTTATTTATGTATTCATTTATCTTGGTAGGTGATATGTCCATTCATGCTGGATCAGTTCTATTGGGCAGATAGGATGTTTTGGCTTGGGGTTAGTGCAGAGCCGCTGAAAAGAGAGCACTTGGTACCGGACACAAATGATAGCTGCGGCAGCAGCATCAAAGAAGGAGCCAAAATGCTTGCGAAGGCCATAAACTTTGCTCTCTCTTCTCAGGTTAAAAAACGGGCATTGCAGCTTGCAATCACTCTGTCTACTGAGGAGGTACTACTTTCCTTTCTCTGATCCACTGTAATGATGTGGAAGCCCCCCCCCCCCCCTCCCCCCCGTGTTTCACCATTATAAAGAAAGAAGATAAGTGCCGCTTTGTATCCTTTCAATTCATTAGGATGGAGTAGCACAGGCAGTGAAGAACTTGACTGAAGAGCTTGGCGGAGGAGATATGGTAAACTGGTGAAGTGCACTTTCGCGAAAGATAAGCAAAGAGCCATCCCCCCACACGAATGGAAAGTTTTGCAAATTTTTTCTGGAACTGGAAGATCTTTCCGTGATCTTCAACATATTCGGGGTTCAATGTGACCATGTGGTGTATCCATTTATTTCCTCCATATCCCGTCAATTTGGAGAAGTCCCCTGGATGTTTTCACGACGTGTAAGGTAAAGTCATTTGCTTTGAAAATCCACCAAGTTTGCAACGTGGTTAAGTTAAAACCTTTGAAGGATTGTACCACTGCCGTAATAATTAGTTATGTGTAAATGTTGTGTGGTGTGATTGTCATGTATGTTTGTTGTCTTGTTTGGACTAGATTCTCACCCGTGTGATGCATGGATCAAAATTAAGCCTCAATTATCTTTTATTATTTGTTAACATTATTAGTGAAAGAATTATATAGTCCGGTGAAAGCTAGTACGAGCAATGTTTTGAAAGTAGAATAAATATAAAGTTGATAAATAATCCTCAATCAATGTCATTGTGTTAAACATTTTATTTTTGAATAACGTAAAAGGTTGCAGAGTTGATAAATATATACTTCTCAATCATAAGCCTTGAAAAGAATTACTAAAATATGATTTTCATTTTCATACATTTTCTTCTTTATTGACTATTGAGAACGTTATAAAATTATATAATTATTTATTTAAAAGTAAAATATGACACAAAAGCAGACGATATAATCTTTCTACTTCACTTTTGTATCAACATAAAATACATGATACGTTTATCACACCTTCCCTTGTCCTTCACTGTTATCCATAAGTTTAGAGACTTCTTACTTGTGCATAATCACACATCTAGGGGTAGATTCGGGCCCGGGTCGGGCCTAGGCCCGGCGGGCTTTTTGGGTTGGGCCCGGGACCGGCCGGGCCTCGGGCCTCTTTATATTTTTTTTTTGCTTTTTCTAATTAATCCCCGACCCCCCTCCCTCACCCCCACCCTCCAAAACACCCGGCCCAACCCGTTGGAATAAAAAAATGAAAAACCAAAAATAATAATTTCGGCCCGAACCGGGCCTGGGCCCGGCCGGGTCTCATTTTGAAGGAACTGTGCCCGGAACCGTCTCCCCCTCGGGCCGGGTCAAAGCCCGGTACCTGGACCGGTGAACTGGGCCGGTCCTGGGCCCGCACAGTAGCGGGCCGGGCCGGTTCACGGGCCGGGTGGCCCGACCTGAGTCCACCCCTACACACATCTAGTCCTACCTTCCCTCCGAGGTAAGCGGTACCACGTCTTGATATACTCGTACTATTGATCAAATAGATTGCCTTATAGCTAGAATTGTTAATTTTACAGCGACAACTCTTTCTCCCATTTCATATAAATATTCAAATTATTTCAATATTTATCATCACTTCTTCATTGTCCAAAGATATCACTATCCACCCGATCGTTTGATTTTATGCACAAAAGATTCATTTTATGTCAACACAACTGAGTGTAGCTGTCCTGCCCCGTTCGGGGCATGTAATTATCTAGCGTGCATTTCTGTTTGCGTGAAATCATTATCACTTGAATTTACATAAGTTTATCTCTAAATAATTAATAAAGCTGAAATACGTTTTTAGTCCCTACAAATATGACACTTTGTTTTTGGTATGACACTTTGTTTTTGGCAGGCCTGGACTCGGGTCGGGTGGCCCGACCCGGAACCGGCCCGACCCAGCATTGTTCTGGCCCGGTGGCCCGGTCTGTGACCGGTCCGGGTAGGCCCGACCCGCGTGGGTTCCAGTCCGGGCTCGGGTCCCCCAAATCCTGAACCGGCCCGGACGGTTCAGGCCCGGTTCCGGGCCTTTTTAATTTTTTTTTCAATTTTTTTTTACTTTTCGGGTTGGGCTGGGTATTTTGGGCCATTTGGTGTGGTTTGGGGGTGGGTGGGTTAACTAGGAAAAGGAAAAAAAATTAACAAGGACCGAGGCCCGGCCCGACCCGGAACCGGGGATTACCCGGGCCGGTTCCGGGCCCCCCATTCCAGAACCGCCGACCCGACCGGGCCAGAGCCGGCCCGAGTCCAGGCCTAGTTTTTGGTCCATGCATTTTTTTTTTGTTTTTCATCCTTCTAATTACACTTTTGATTTTACTCCATCTCTAATTATGAAACCACTATACTTACAATAAAAGTTATTGTGAGTTGCATAAATCTACTAGAAATACTTAAATTTGTCATTTTATAACTTTTTAAGGCTAATATAAGAGTTAAAACAATGTAAAACTAAGTATTCACATTTTAAAAATGTATATTAAATAAAGATTAAAATTAATTACGTTTTGAATGGCATTACAAAGAATTAGAGTAAATCTATTATTCAGAGTTATTTTGGAACCAATCGGAGGTTGTTATCATCGGTGATGAACTAAAATGAAAACAACACAAATTGGAGGGATGAAAAACAAAACAAAACAAAAAAGATTTGCAGGGATGTAAAACAAAATATACTATATAGAGGGAAACATATTTAAACCTAATAAAAGAAAATATATTAAATCGAAGTCGAATACGCTAAAAAATTCAAAAATTTAGAAAAATGTACTTAGACTGGTAAAGTTAATCTATTATGTTGATAATTGAATATATGTAATGAAATATAAAGAAAGACAGTGACAATTAACCTTTCATCTCATTCAAATTTAAATATTAATATATTTTAAGCAAGCGTGGACTCAGGCCGGGCCGGGTCCGGGTCGGGCCTAGGCCCGGGCGGGCCGGCGGTTCAGAAATGGTGGACCCGGGACCGGCCCGGGTAGCCACCGGGTCCGGGCCGGGCCTTCGTTTTTTTTTTTTTTTTTTTTTTTTTTTTTTTTTTTGCTTTCCTAACCCCCCCCCCCCCCCCAAAAAAAAAAAATCCCCCAAACCCCTCCTAACCATCAAGCCCAACCCGGGTGGAACCCCAAAAAATGGGGAAAAAAAAATCAATTTGGCCCAAACCCGGGCCCGACCCAGCCAAGCCGGTTCGCCAAATGTAAGACCCCGCCCCCCGGGCCTAGGCCCGCCCCGGACCCGAGAACCAGGACGGTCCCGGTCCCGCAGAGTAGCGGTCCGGGTGGCCCGACCCGAATCCACCCCTAATTTTAAGATAAAAAAGTTTATGATTAATTATATACACATATATTGAGCGGGGCTAGGGAACACGAGTCAATACTAATACCTGCACCTATGGATGGACTTGGTTCGGGCCGAGCCCGGTCGGGCCTCCGGTCCTGGATTGGAGGGCCCGGAACCGGCCCGTGTAACCACCAGGTCCGGGTCGGGTCGGGCCTCGGGTATATTTTTTTTGTTGCCTTTTCCTATTTAACCCCCCCCCCCCCCACACCCAAACCACCTCAAATGGCCCAAAATACCCAGTCCGATCCAAAAACTTAAAAAAAATTCAAAAAAAAAATCAAAATGGCCCGGACCGGGCCCGAATCGGCCGGGCCGGAACAGTGGCGGGCCGGTTCCGGGTCGGGCCACCCGGCCCGAGTCCACCCATACCTGGACCCACTATTGTGTGAAGGGGATAGGAGTATAGGACGGACCTATCCCACTTGCAAGATGGGGCAGGCTAGACCTGCTCCAAATGTCTTGGGCCAGGGCGGATCCTTGCGGGTCAGATGTTTTACATGCCTAGACAAGCATGCAGAAAACAACAAATAAAGGAAAAAACGTAATTTTGGTAACATTAACAATGAAAAAACGTAGTTGTGGTCCTTTCACACTCCATTAACAATCCTTTATGAGCCTTTTAAAATAATTGTATTAGCAAAACTAAGACATTTAAAATACGAAGAAACTAATACCCTCTAGGGTAATTATACTCACTTCAATCAAGATAGATTACCAAACACAATTTCAGCGATTTCAGCATTTTCAAGCCACTACAACCATCATCAAATGACCAAACAGGCCCATAGACTCCATAGTCCTTTGTGTACTATACAAAAATATAACCACTAAAAAGTACACTATTTTTTGGCTTGTTATCTCCGCGCCGGATGTGCTTTCATCTATAAACCCCACAAGTAGTGGTTGGTGCAACCATAAAACTGGGTTTATAACTTGTAAGACTACTGTTGTTGAAGCTTCTCTGATACAGAACTGCAACCTTCTTCCTGAACTAAATCCTCCAACGGGTTCTCTTCTGACCACACAGCTGCATCTGCATACCCGAGCTCGAATAGGTTATCTAGGATTTCATCCTCTGCAGGCTCCAATGACCAATTAAAGAGCTGGAATGTTTGAAAAACAAAGCACATCACAATGGCCCAACCTGATAAATGTTGGACTGTTGTTTACAGGGGTCGAGTCTTATATATTTACATATATAGGGTTTAGCTCCGGTAAGAACACCCCTTCCCGTGAGAAATAAGAACGCTCCAAAACAATGTACATTATGATTCATAGATGTGCACATGTGTAGTTAGAATAATGCACAGTTCAAATGTGCAAATTTATGGTTAAAATAATGCACAGTTCAATGTACATTGTCTAATTTATCATAGTGCATATTTTTGTTTCACATAATGCACGGTACTCAAATCCAACACACCAAAATTATTCTCATTTCTCACCTCAGATCATAGTTTCATTTGAACCAAATTCTATACATACATATGTATACAATGTTCTAAAAGACGCTAGTCGGGCACCGGCCAGTGCCTAGGCGGACGCCTAAGCGGGGACAAGTCAGACCTAGAATTATATTTTTCAATATTTTACATTGTTACGGACCTAGCCCATACGGGCCTGGTATGAGTTAGGTCCGTAACATAGATACATATGATTAGTAATATTGTGTTATGTGCGTAATAAAAAATATATACTTACATATTAACATGTATATGAATGCTATAATAATTGTAATAAATACGGATAATATTATGTACTGCGGAATAAAATTTTAAAATATATACAAATATGTATAACTTTTATCTAATCCACAAGTAACTTTCTTCCTATCTCTTAGAAAAATTAAATAAAATGAAAAGAAAAAAAATACTCGGCAAATGCCATAGGCGGGTTGATTAGGCATTCCGGACGGGCGACTATGCACACTAGGCGGCTGACTAATTCAACTAGGCGAGTCGGTGTCAAACCAATTAGTCAGGGCACCTAGACTAAAATCGAGGCGTCCGGCCACTCCCTAGCACAACTTTTAGAAGAGTACTGATCTAGTCAAGGCTTTCTGACCGAAACCCTGTCCAGCTGCAGCCATTTAAGGTAGTTCCCATTTGAAATTTTGTGAGCAATTTTTTTTAGAACATGCTCAAAAAATTCCATCGGGAAGGGACTCTAATGGCGTCTGCTCGGAGGTTCCTATACATACGTATGTATATGAACGAGAGTACGAGACTATATATATATATATATATATATATATATATATATATATATATATATATATAGGGATGAGTTCAAGTAAAAAGTAGTCTTCCCATGAAAAATGAGAACAAATCTTGGCCTTCCATCACTTGAAAATGGATGGATTAGATGAACTTTAAACACAAGAGATGATTTCAAAAAATGTGCAAACGTTTATAGTATAAAGTGGATAGTTACTGATTAAAAGTGTACTCATGCGGGTAAAAAAAGATTGTCAAAATTTTCCATCTTGTGCACTTTTTATTTTGTACCGTATTGCACTTTTGTGCTCTACGTGTGCACTTTTTGACTATTCTGATGCACATTTATCACAATATTTTCAAAAAAAGTTCTCCATAATTACAAAACGCCACCCGCGTTTCCAACTTAAAAATTGATCTCTTCCACCCATTTTATCACATCAACGGTCAAGATTAGTTCTTATTTTTCACCTAGGAAGTACTTTTTATTTGAACCAAATTATATATATATATATATACACACAAATGTTCATGTCCGGAATTCCGGACAGGAACCGCCGTCCGGACGACGGCGTTTGGCCGCCTTACCGGTGGCTTTTTTTTATGAAATTTTTATGGCATGTTCTTCATCAAGTCTAGTTTATCCACAAAAAAATTCAGCCAAAAACTCAATCGGGAAGGTCGTCAAATGATTTTTGCAAGTTAACTAGTCCGGAATATGTATTTTCCGGACCAGTTAACTTGCAAAAATCATTTGACGACCTTCCCGAATGAGTTTTTGGCTGAAATTTTTTGTGGATAAACTAGACTTGATGGAGAACATGTGATAAAAATTTCATCGAAAAATTCCACCCGGAAGGCGGCCAAACGCCGCCGTTTGGACGGCGGTTTCGGTCAGGAATTCCTGACCGGAAGAGTACTCTCTCTCTCTCTCTCTCTCTCTCTCTATATATATATATATATATATATATATATATTTCCATCACTTGCAATGGAGCCAAAGACTCACTATTTTTTGGATTGAGAATATGATGAAATAAAGCAAAATGATTCACTAAACTGTCTGGACGTTTTTGTTATGAAGTAGCCGTCAATCCAATAATCCATACAATTTTCAACGCGTTTTTCACTATGAGTCATCCGGAAACAGTCTCTTTGTGCTTTAGTGAAACTGCAAACACCTTACCCCCCCCTACCCCACCGTAAGTGGGAGCCTTTGCGACACTAGGGTAATGATGATGATATAATTATATGTAGAGAGAGAGTTTGATTCATATAAAAAGAAGAAATGTTGGCCATTGATGCGAAAAAGCGGAAAAAGGTGGATGGAATAGATCAAATTTTAAATAAGAAATGTGATGACATTATACGTAATAGTAATCGGAAAGATATTTAAATGAAAATATTGTAACAAATGTGTACCAAAATATATAAATAGTGTATATGTGGTGCACCAAAGTGCATTGGAATACAAAATAAAATTTGCATGAGTAAAACATATGATAATCTTATTTAACAACCACAAGTGCATTTTCATCTATTAACAATTGATTTTGTATTATAAACATTTGCGCATTATCTTTTCATCATGTCTTTTGATTAAATAAATTATCTAATTCATCTATTTTCAAAATGATTAGATGTCAATATTTATTCTCCTTTTTCATTAGGGCTCTACTTTTTACTTAAATCTATTCATATATGTGTGGCATATATATGTGTGAGAGATACACCACATCAGGACCATTTTGGTGTGATTTAGATCCACCCTAACAACATGAATTCACCTGTAGGTGTTTAGGATTTTACCTGCCGCGGGGTGGCTCTATTTTCAGGATTGCAGTCCGGACTAATCCCGACTCCACGCAGTCCTAGCCGGCTAGCTGGGAAAGCACAAACGCGTACCTTGAGATATTTAAAGTTTTATAGCAGTTGTTACTTGCTTCCAAAATTTGAGACCTCAATAACCAAAGAAAAGAAGAAAATAATGATAAAGTCCCTACGATTTGATCCGAACAAAATAAATTAACGTGTAAAATGTTTTCGAAATATAAGTTTGGCTCACAAAAATACAAGCATAAATATGTTTCAGGATAATAACTTTCTGTTGGCATAACAAAAAACCATTTTCCACAAAGTTTAAAGAATCAAGGAAAATATTTTTCGGTGCCAAACAAAGGAAATGGTTTCATGTGCCAAACACGTGAAAATCCACATAACAGTTTCTAGCAATATACTTCGAACTTCCTTGGAATCAAATGGAGTCTTGGCAATGTGATTTTCTTCTTACAGCCTATTTGACTGATTGAACTAGCTAACAATTGCAAAAAAAAAAAAATGATACTCCCTCCGTCCGATTGAAAGGTTCCCACTTTCCTTTTTTGGACGCCCTATATAAAGATTCTCATTTCTATTTTAGGAAACAATTAGCAATCTTAAATGACAATTTAATCATTAAATATTAAAATTAATACATTTATAGCATCACAATTATCAACTATAACCTCATTATACTATATACCTATCAAAATCATTTCTCAAAATGTACTCAAATTACTTATTTAATTATTGTCTAAATAACCGTGCTGTTTTACTATGAGAATCTTTCAACAGGACGGAGGTAGTACCTTTTTGGCCATTGTTATTTTCCTTTATGAGCCGATTCAGTCATTTCAACCATAATTTTGGAAAATACTGCTGATTTGTCTATTTTAGTCATTTCAGCCAACTTTTACTCTTAAAGTCTTACCAAATAATATTTACTCCGTACTGAATACCATTACAAATTATAGACAGAAGAAATTAAATTTTTTTCCAGAGCATCATGAGATGTACACAGAATGTACCGTTTCAGAAGCAGAAGTTGGCGGCATAAAAACTGTCAAACCCCCATCAATGCAAAGTCGGTTACGGAACATCGTGGCAGGTCTTGGTGCAAGATATCTGCAGTAAAAGGCATTTTTATGGTAAGAAAGTCACATGATACACAAAAGCAACAGTAGAAGTAGCAATTAGGAGAATTGTGTACCCAGGAATAAAAGAAGATGTCATTACTGCATTTATGAGATCCTCCTTAGAATCAAACTGATCAACCAGCAAACTCCTTGGCCTCCAAAAAATCTCTGTTATGGCAACTACAATAGAGCAATGTTATCAACACTTGGTAGTGGTGGTATGTATGGACTTGGACTAGTGGGCCTGCAGCACCAGGCTATAGACCAGTGGTCGTTGTGGGTCGATCTATGAATTTGACAGCAGAATGCTGATTGGCTACAAAGGCACCCCCGAAACAGTGTTTCTGAACCAAAATGTCAGCTTAGAGAAGAGGTCTTATAGAGTGGGAGGTCAGTTGGGATGCCCGTGTGACCGCGTTATTTTTCACAAACATCCCGTTGGGTGACCCATCCTTAAATTGAAGCAACTCAAGCACGTTTAACTACTGTGTTGTGAACTTAACGATGCTAATTTCCTTCTTAAAATCAATTGGGAATAAGTATGTGGACAACTGGACATTAAACCCTTTAACGTCATCTCTCTCTAGTCCTAATTGTGATCATTGCTCCTCACAAGTTAGGGTGGACTCTAGAAGAGCCCTACTACTGCGTGGTGGGAAGGCATAAAAGGCTGAACCAATGATGGGTACCAGGGCCATTAGTCCTCAACCAGTAACGTTCTCTTGAATCAAAAGGTGGTTAATACCCATAAGACAAACAATGCCTCGATCCTACATAAAAGGCTCTGTCCAGCGAGACTCACAGGACGACTACCCAACCATCCATAGTAGCAGAGTATCATAGCTCTTATATCTTCTTCAAAGTTCATATACCCATCCCAGTGCTCCATGCAGGGATCAGACACATTAGTAACCACACAATTTTATCTCAAAAAAAAGTCAAGGCTCTACACACTCTCTTTAGATACTTTAGGTGCACAACCATGGCTATGTCCGAAATGCTATCACTTGGTAATACACACACAAGTCAAACATACAGGGGCAACCAAGGAGGGAAAAGAAGATAAGACATACTGCGAACTCTTCCATTGCACCTAATATGGATGTCATCTGGCAAAAGTCCCACTAAACTATTTTGGAGAACAGCCTGGCGAGAATATAATCATGTCTTAGATTGTGATTTGTTTACAAAAGACATAAGATTTACGACAACCTATATCTTCAAGCTTGTAGCAACAAAAAGACAAGTATTTTTAAATTCCTAGAATTTAAGCATGCAATCTTCTATGCCTATATCACAGTTCAAGCTTGAAGCAACAAAAATAAAAGTATTTTTAAATTCCTAGAATTTTAGCATGGAATCTTCTATGTCTATACCCCAAGGCGGAAGACAGTTCCCCTAAGCCGGCAATCCTCAGCCAATAATTTTGTTGCCTTCAGTGCCTCTTGCATTGTCGCTCCAGATGCTATTACTGCACAAACAATAGCACCAGCAGATGAACCAGCCAAGGCTGTTGTTTCCTGGCTCAACATAATTATTGTGTTATGAAAGAGCTGAATACAACTTAAAGTAATTTTTTGATGAGTGGCTTGGATGATGTTTTTTTGCATGTCTTGTATAAGTAAAATGTTAATGCATTGACTACTGATAGAGAATGTAATAATGTACTTCCTTTGTTCTTTATTAGTTGCAACATTGTGATTTTTGCACTATTCACACGCCTTACTTTGACCTTGATTTTCTACTAATACATATAATCAAATTATTATATATAAAATATTACTAACTTTCTATTAATGTGAATTTCCAATATATTACTACCTCTGTCCCATTAACATTGGGACAAGAGGGGTGACATGGTTATTAAGAAAAGTTAGTTTATGAGGTTGATATTGAATTGATAAAGTAAGAATAAAGTAAAAATGATTTAGAGCCACACACTTTACCAAATTTGGTATGGGACAATCTTAGTGGGATTTTCCGAAAAGGTAAAATGAGACAATCTTAGCAGGACGGAGGGAGTAACTTATTATAATATTTACTAGTACATGATTAAATATAATAACAATCAAAGTTGTGCGTTGGCAAACATGAAAGTCAAGTTGTTGCAATTAAAAAAGAACGGAGGTAGTATATGTTAGAATTAGAAAGATGAAAAAAGGTGCAAGATAATTGGGTAGGTTGGTAGCCATAACCAGCTTCTCTATCTATTGTGTTTGGTTGAAAACCTAAGTAGATTAAGAGCTTTTCACTAAATAACCCTTACCATGTGGCACTCTTTCTCTAGCATGGATTCACTATTCAGTTGGGGCCATCATCTACTAATAGTACACTTTTTGGCATTTTATTTTTATTTTTCATGGAAAGAAAATCACATTAAGTAATCAAGAAAGCCCAACAGATGAATATGGAGTTAGAGACCCCTTCCTAGAAGTTTAGTTTTGAATGTACACTTCACTTGGGGCAAGCCAAACTGAATAGTTTTTCAAAAAATTAACAAATACTTCCTCCATTCTTGAATAGTTGCAACACTTTCCTTTTTGGCAGTTCAAAACAATTAAAACACTTTTATTTTTAACAATAAGGTGGCTACTAAACCCTTTAACTCATTTAACAATCCAACTCATTACCCCTACTTCAAATTATATATCTTCACCCCTTCCCCATATATCCCCAACTCACACCCTGCACTCTTCATTCTTCACCCTCTGCATTATTCTTCTATTTTTTTCCTTTCTCAGTTCTCCCCCACTCCCTTGCCATGGCCATACCTTTATCTTCCGTCCTCACTACTGCTCTTTTTTTCATTTCTTTCCTCCACCATCCTCTTTGTTTTCATCACTTTTACCTTCTTTGGAAACCCAACCTAAAATCTCGAAGAAAATAACACAGATTTGACGATTTGTTCGTTCTAGCTATTCTGTTTGGTTGGGTCTTTTAGAAAGCTCCCACCTTTTATGCAATGAGATAGTAAGAAATAGTTTGATTCAACAACTAAGAATTAGGAAGCGCGAGATCTGTAAAGATGCAGTAGTATACTAGTATGAGTAACATTTAATTGAGTACACTGCAAATCTAGGTCTAATTATTGAGAGATGTTAAAGAGACATAGGTAAAGATAAGAAAGGGGAAGAAGAAACTAAAAGCAAAAATGGAGAACAAGCTATAATCAGGAAAAGAAATATGAAGTTTGTTGTCAGAAATTTGTCAGCCGATAAATTGGAGAGGTTTTGTCCATCAAAATAAGGGAAATGTAGAAAGAAGCATAGTTTTTTAATTTGTGTGTCCATCTATTGCTGCACGGAGGAATTACAAATCTAATCAAAAGTGTAATTAGTTTCCATTTTCACATTCAACAAGACTCAATAAGTGGTTTGTGCATCTATGATATATTACTTTACTATTTTAAGGTCATGCTCTACTAATTAAAATTAGCATGCTTCAAATTTGACTCATCAACCATGAGTCCTTGAATGATTAGACCTATACTAAAATGAAAATAGCAAATTCTTCCCATGGTTTGACCGCTTGAGAACACTTCCGGAGTTCTAGAAAGAGTTCAAGATTGTGTGGGGTTAATCAATAGTCAAACTTTACAAAAAGATGACCTCAATTAATTAGTTACTCTACTATAAGACTTCATAAACACATCTAAACTCTGTTAGAGGCACTCAACTGGGCCATAATGCACATAATTAAACCACACCAAAAGAAAGATTGAATCAAAGGTAGAAGCTAGCACCCCTGGTGTTTCTGATAGAACACTGACAATTTCCAGATTTCTATCTAACAAATTAATCAAGAAACTGAGCTTTCATTCAACTAACAGAAATAATTACAAAAGAGAAACAGTTTTTGGGCAAGTTCTATTTTCTAATTCAATAACCAGCCTATCTCTTATTACCCACCCCCCTCTTATTTATACTACTCTAGTACTCTTCTTATTTATTATTATTCTACAAGGGTCCTTATCATATCTTCCCCCTTTAAACAACCATCTTGTCCTCAAGGTAGGTGCTAGGAAACAGCCCTAATCTTCAGCTTCCTATTCATCTATGTGTCTCTTCCTTCCCAGTACTTCACTGTTTGCTGGACAAGGAGCTTCCATACTTGAATCTTCCTCCTCACTTCTTGTAGCAAAAGCCTCCATACTTCCTTATCATATCCCCCTCTATCTTCAGAGCATCAGTACACTCGGGTGGCTTTGTTCATGCTGGAACTGAGTTTTACCAATCACCAACTGCTCAGTCTTCCAAATACTAACAACTCTTGCCTCATGATATAACCCAAGCTCTTGGGTTTCAGTTGCTCCACTCCTTGAAATAGTAGGATCTGACATGAAGTATTCCCTGGGACTGATAATAAGAACAGCAGGTACATCAATTAACTGATCAACAACAATGGCAGATTTAATTTCAGAGTTATTAAAGGAAGCTTTCCAATAGGAATCATGTGACCCAGAATTGATAGGTGCAAACAATGACATGAATGGCGCAGATCCTGCTGCTGTTTCGATTGTGGATAAAAAACTGGCACAAGGAAACTCTGCAGGGTACTCTTTGCCATTTGGGCCGCATGACTTACAAGCACCATCATCTTTAGTCAAACAGTTGAAAGAGCCTCTTAGTAGGGCACACATAGAAACTGGATTTCCATTGTAAGTCACCCACCTAGGAGGCTAGGACCAACAACAAGAGGTCCAATGTAGACTACACCTGATGTATCATATCTATTGTCATCTGTAGCCTTGATCCCTTTACCAGCAATAGCCATCTGAAACCGATAGTCACAAACTACACCCCCATGTGTGGAACAAGTATACAGACTACTGGCATTCCCCTAACATTTCCCATATCATTCCCAATAAATCCTACTCCCAGCCCATTTCGGATATTTTTCATAAAATTCACACCATCAATTTTGAAACCTTCAAACTGATTCAGCCCTTCCAAAATTCCCTTTGATGAATGGTGGTGCACAATATCCATTAGGACACAAACTCCAGTCTCTGGACTCTACCCATCACAAATTTAAAATATTCTGGGTATTGGTCTAGTGCACTAACATACCTTCGAGCTTCATAGGTAAGGTTATCCGATTTGTGCTCTTCAGACTCTTCCAGATTATCTGGTGAATCAACATTTTCTGCCCCTGTCAGAATATCATCGTTCATCTCCAATTCTTGAACTGAAGGTGCAGACGGCTTCATCTCAATGTTCATTTCCAGCTGTGGAACCCCTGAAGATCCTTTTCCTGTTGCGTCTAGAGTTATGGCTCCTGTAGGTACGTTGAATTTTGTGCACTGGGAGACGTTGCTTGCGCTGAAATCTGAGAACCAGGAAAAAACCCTCATGATTACAAATGATGATGACTGGTTAGCGAACTGAGAATCGCGGTTCGCAATTGCGAACTTGAAGAAGCAGTTCGCGACCAAACTTGCGAACTGCGAACTCCTAGAATCAAGTGGCTACTGCGAACTGATATATTTTACATGCGACACAGTTTGATAACTGAGACAAAAGACTTGCGATGAAGATGGGTGAGGATAAACAGTTCACGACAAAGCCAGAGAACTGGAAGGAGTTGCTTGCGACTGAGAAGAATCCTGCGCACTTAGCGTCGAACTGGGAGACGCGGTTAACGATTGCGAACTGGGAGAAGCATTTCGCCACTGTGAACTGGAAACTTCACCTCTTGATCGCATCGTACTTGAACTGGTAGCGGATAATGAAGCATGCGAACAGAGAGATGTTGTTGGCGACCACGAAGGGCACTGTTTTTCAGATGGCCGACAACGTCTAGGAGGGCTCCTAGCTCGGTCTCTAGGTCGCCTGCCATGAAGTTTACGGATCTCGTTTATTCGACTCCACATCTTCGCCACCCAATCATCAAGGATTGTTGATTTTGTTTGACCTTTTTCAGTTTATTCTCCATGTGCGCGAACGTTTCTTGCGGATCAAAGTGCTCTGATACCAATGATAGAACACTGACAATTTCCAGATTTCTATCTAACAAGATAATCAAGAAACCGAGCTTTCATTCAACTAACAGAAAGAATTACAAAAGAGAAACAGTTTCTGGCAAGTTCGAGAGTGCCAGAGCTCTCCAAAGTTCAATGTTCTAATTCAATAACAGCCTACCTCTTATTACTCACCTGGTCACCCCCTCTTATTTATACTACTCTAGTACTCTACTTATTTATTATTATTCTACAAGGGTCCCTATCAGTTTCAATGTGCAACTCTTATTACCTAGGTTTATAAGAAAAACAAATTTTATGGCTTAAAATATCAAACACAAATAAGGAGTAACACATAATATGTAGAAGCAGCTGAAACAATTTACCCTTATGTATCCCTTCTCAATTAGACAATGAGCTACCCCAAGATGATATGGAAACAAGAGACCAGCAGCGGAAAAGCTAAATCCAGGACTAGTAACCGGCTTCCACCCCTGCTCAGCTTCAACGTCCTTGACAGTCTGCTCCCACAATACCTCCGGATGGACGGGATCCTCAACCACCTTCGCAATTTCCTCCTTCCTCCTCTTCCACAGATAACTCTCCTTCTCCGGATCGTCCTTAAACATCGACATTCCCTGTCCCTCTATTCCAGCACTACCCCCTACTCGACGCTGCAGTATACGCGACGCTATTCCAATGAAAAGTTCGCCTGTAGCTACCGCAAAAGATTTTTTCTCCTCCGTCTCTGAGGGGGGTGGAGTTGGTTGTTGACCGGAGTTGGCTTTGGCGGAGAAATTGAGATAGGTGGATGTACGCAGAGTGAAAGGGAGGCGAACGTCGAGATTAGGGTTGGGTTGATGACGGAGGGGGCGAGGGCTGGAGAAGGCTAGAGAAGAGAGGGAAGCCATGGATTCTCCAGCAGTTAGTTAGGGGTGGAATTTTAAGGAATATATCTCCGGCCACTGTGGACTCGTATGGGAAGTTAGGCAATATTAGAATTTTTGCACTATTCACGTATTCTAATTGGAAAAGTTCCCGAAATAAGACTAAAAAAATTTGAAAATTCCAAAATAAGATTGACATGTTTTTTATTCTCAAAATAGGAGTAATTACTGTCAAGTTTGGAAAATACTGCCATGTTTGAATTCTGGTACTGCCAAAACATGACAGTAATTAGTCCTATTTTGGGAATAAAAACATGTCAGTCCTATTTTGGAATTTTCAAACCTTTTTAGTCCTATTTTGGTTAATATCTCCATTCTAATTTGACTATATTTTATTTATTGATAAATTATAAATTAAATTTTAAAAAATATTATTAACATAATTGTTTTCAGTTCAATTGATTTTTTAACGCCGCCACCGACTTCACGAAATCCGCTTGTCGTCCACAAACGAACTCCATTGATGAAATTCAAGCTTTGTGACCTCTCAACCGCCTAAAATCCGAGGTCTGAATGGGAACTCTCTGCCGCTGCGTCTCTTTTCTGTTCCGTTGGATGATATCAGCGACGATAGTTTCAGACGATACAACTGGGCACGGCAATAGTCGGGCGGGGGGCACGTAATGCGGGACCCGGGACCAACTTTGGGGTGTTTGGAATTGATTCTGCTTCTGTTTCCTTTTTTAAATTAGAAGCATAATCAGAATCAGTTTTCAGAAGTTGGCCACCCAACTTCTAAAGAAACTGATTCTAAGGGTAAATTAGAGCCCCAGAATCACATCTGCACTTTCATCCAAACATTTCAGTTTCTGCTTCTGGTCTCTGAAGGAGCTGAAGCAGTTTTAAGAATCAGATCCAAACACCCCCTTTACCCGGTGCACCTGCTTGATGAGTTTTAGTTGAAATCAATCTTGTTAAAAGAAGTCACATGTAAATGCAAATAGAGAGCCAAAAATATTACTCCTTATTTCAATTTAAATCGAATTATCAGCACTTTAGTTTGCTTAGTCTAATCCTTGAAATTTTATTATAATTGTTAAATTTTGGTACTATTATTATTTTATTTGTGAACCTATGAAATATATATATTTTTGAATTATATCATATATTATTATTATTATTATTATTATTTATAAATATACTTCCGTACTCGTAGAGTTTTTTCCCAGAATAATCTTAATTAAATAAATAATTCTCAAAAAATTGGTGGGTTAAAAACAACTCCCAAAATATTGCTGGAGTTAACAATGGTTAAGGAAAGGCGATTCTTCTATCCAGTACAAAAGCCGCCATTCGAAGTGGCGGTTCTTCTATACCGTACAAAAGCCACCACTCCACGTGGTAGCTCATTAATTAACGAAATATCTCCTTTTCCTCCCGGAAAACGAATGACAAAACCAAAGGGAATAAGCTCCTCTGTGACTGCTGTGGCAAATGGCGCCTGCCACGGTGCACCTGAGGTCGTTTGTGTTCCATCCTACCGACTTTCAATCGTTTGAATCGAGGTATTTAACCATTTTTGCTAAATCTGTGTTTTTTTAAAATTTTTGTTATAAATTGCTGTTTTTTGGATTACTTTCTTTGTACTTGATGTTATGAAATATATAAATTGTTGATGTTGTTATTGTGTTTGAATTTATATAATTTGTAGAATTTGAGTTATTTATTGTATTGGTTGAATTGAGTTTGATATGTGGATCGTTTGAAAAAGAGTAATGTTTGTGTAGGTAATGGAAATTGGCAGATTTCGGAGTTTGTGTAGATAAATTACTCGCCGAAACTACAGAGAGGGGTTCCTCCTGCGATGATAGATAGAGAGCTACAAGGCCTTCTAGGTTTTATGTTAACAATGAAGGTGTTTAGTTCAACACTTCGTGGTCATTTTTGACTTTTTACAGTTACTAGTTGTGCTACGCGCGTTGCGTGATAGGAAGATGCCCAATAATAAAAATTTGTATGCCTTAATAGCACTATCATGGTTTTATGTAGGGATGGACTGGGCCGGGCCGAACCGGCCCGGAACCGGACCGGCCCGCTACTGTGCGGGCCCGGACCGGACCGGGCCCGGTTGGCCGGTTCCGGGCTTTTAGCCCGTTTTGGCGGGTCGGGCGGGCCGGTTCCGGGCCCTGTTTTTGTTGAACCGGCCCGGGCGGTTCGGGCCGGGCCCGGTTCATTTTTTTTTTTTTTTTGGTTTTTTCAATTTTTTTTCTTTTCCTAGGGTAGGGCTGGGTGTTTTAGGGAGGTTTGGGGCGTGGGGGTGAGGGGGGGGGGGTAAGGGAGATAACAAGAAAGTCAAAAAAAAAAAAAAAAAAAAAAAACATTGAACCGGGCCCGGCCCGGCCCGGCCCGGTTAGGCCCGGACCCGGTATCAACCCGGGCCGGTTCCGGGCCCATGTAACCCGAAAAAAAGCCCGCCCGGGCCCGGCCCGGAACCGGAACCGGCCCGGCCCGGGTCCATCCCTAGTTTTATGTAATATTTTTCTTTTAAATTTGCTAATGACAACAAAATCATTTAAATAAAATCAGAATTTTCAAAAGTTGTAGTCTTCACTCAAAATGATCCAAAACATAAATTCAATATGGGAAAACACATTTGTCAGTTGCAAATACATACACGAGAGTCTAAATTAGACTATGAATTGAAAAGAGTTTCATATTAACAAGAAAACACTCATGTAAACAAATTTACAAATTACATACATTAAGGTGCTTGCGATAAAATTTCTCTTTCCCAATTAAATATAAACATACAATAAAATCACAATTCATGAGCTTCACGATTTTAAAAATACATTTTAAATTTAGAACTTTCTTATACATGATAAACTGATTGAGTATACATATGCATGGTCACTGGATTTTTGTACTTATTAGCCAGAAAACACATGAGAGGAAATGATAATATGCGCGACGTAAATATCTTTAAACGGTTATTGCATGGAGTGTTGGAAAAAATTAAAAAAAAATGATTATCAACTTTTGGCTTTAAATCACTTTTCACTTTTTTATTTTGCATTTTTTATATTACACATACCACTACCAACCATTATATGTTCAAAAGTATTTTTTCAAACAATACAAATTTTTTTCATTAAAGACTTTTCAAAATTACTTTAAAACCCATTTTTAAAGTAGAAGGCTAAAAGCAATAAGAAACATTTTCTTAGCCTCGTGAAAATTAGGGAAAAGGGGCAAATAAAGTCACGTACTAACCAAAAAAGGTCAAATACGGCCTTATTTATGAGGCTCTGTAGGGCCTTTGCCATTTGGGGTGGTTCTCGGTGGAATTTTTTGATGAAATTTTTAGATCATCTTATTCATTAAGTCTAGTTTACTCATACCAAATTTCAGCTAACATATCAATCGGGAAGGCATTCAAATGAATTTTTGAATATAACTGCGTTTTTAACTCCGCAGTTATCTTAGAGAATTCATTTGAATGCCTTCCCGATTGAATTTTTAGCTGAAATTTGGTATGGGTAAACTAGACTTAATGAATAAGATGGTCTAAAAATTTCATCAAAAAATTCCACCGGGAACTACCCCAAATGTCGATGGCCGGACAGACCCTCTTAAATAAGGTCTTATTTGACCTTTTTTGGTTACTACGTGACCTTATTTGCCCCTTTTCTCTGAAAATTATACATATGAATTCAGAAATCTTGGCATTCCATATCCAGTTAAACAATTCATCTAGCAAAAAAACAAGCCCAGTTCACTCAAATTATTATACGGAGTACTACTTGATGATTAAAGCTCATAAATTGCATTGTTTAAAAGCACCTGCTCATTCAATTCCTAGAACAACAATAAGCAATTACGTAGTGGGAGTATAATTAAGCGATACGCATATAAGATTAAATGATATGCGACGGTCCTAACGGAGATCAGACGGAAAGCATAGAAACGAAAGGTTTTGATCACTTTAAAGGACAACATAAATAGCATAGAGTACAACTATGTATTGTCTTATGTTACATCAACACATTTTACATTCCTAAATAGTTCTAACCCTCATTCATCATTATAAGTTTGTAGATAGAAAACATATTTTAATCCTAATAAAGTAAACACATACGGAGTATTTGTGTTACTAAGCATGTAATCACATTGAAGTAAACATATGCTTACTAAACGCTTCTTATCAAGAATTGCTTGTTAAAGGGGTGTTTACTAAGGATGTTTTTACTTGGACTGTAATTTGCCACAGACCAGACCAGACCAGACCAGACCAGACCAGACTTGGATAGTTATACAAATACAAAGAAACCAGACCTTACCAGACCAGACCAGTTCAGACCAGACCAGACCAGACCAGATCAGACCAGACCAGACTAGCAAATTACAATCCAAGTAAAAACATCCTTAGGATTAAACATGTCCTAAGAGTTTACATTCAAATAATTAAAAAAAAAGGAAATATTAACAGGGAGCATAAATATCTAAAAAGTTATTTTCACATCATGATTGTGTGTTTTTTATAACTATAAATTTATTGAAACAATTACATAGTTTAAAATATGCCAAGCTTTGTTAAGATACAATTAACATTCTAGAATTTCATTTGTGAAATAAATAATATTACATTAAGTACAATTTATTTTCAATGACATCCTCATAAATGTATTTTGTATTTTATATTATGCACTTAACTCCACAGAATTACTTTTGTAAAAAACATAGTGCTAGTATAACTTTTTATATAAAAATCAAGAAAAAATATGTAGACTTGAATAGTTAATCTATTTATACTAGTAAATGAGTATACACGATGCTAATTCTCTATCTCTATTAACAATATAACATTATAAGAGTGAATATTGTCAGAGATACAATGGTAATAAAAAATGTTGGCGTGCTAATTCGGCTGTACTTTTTATCTACTACGAGTATCTTGTACAAGTACATCATTTACCTACTGCTAGCTTCCATCACTAACGGACACGTTAGGAACGTTATATTCTTACGACAGTTTGCTTCCGTCA